GTATTGGCTGAAGTTACTTTAGATGACCATTTTAGCTATTTTACATATAATTTTTTCTTTATTTTATTAGTAAAATATATTTTAAAAAGAATGTTATCTTAAATCAGCAGAATCAGCCAACGCAGCCACCTCAGTCAGAACTTCATAAATTTCAGCAGAATCAGCCAAATCAGCCGATTTTCGTGCTACCAACCGGGCTCTAGATTTGGCTAATTCTACTGCTTTAGTAAGAATTTCACTCACTCACGTTCGGCCAATTGCAATGCTGCAGACTCTCGGAGACTCAGGGTATGCGATGTACTCCCTCCGTATCAAATTAATTGACCCGTTTCTTTTTCACGCAGTTTAAGACAATTACTGTAGACTTTATTAAAAGTAAGAGGTTTTTGGTACTGTAGCGACACTGTAGCGGTACTGTAGCAGTACTGTAGCTGCTTTTTGAGTGGGATTCTTTCCAAAAAGGGAAATGGGTCAATTAAATTGATACACCAAAAAAGGAAAGTGGGTCAATTAATTTGATACGGAGGGAGTATATTTTAAATAAAAAATCGAAATTTCGCGGATTTACCCATTCAGCATAATCCATCAAATTTAAGGCTGGTTTAGGCTTCCCGCAACCCCGGACTGTGAATACCCAAATTTAATGTTTTCATGCTCAAATATGTTCCAACCCGTGTATTTTATGGGTGGAAAATTGGAAGGATGACACTTAATTTGCAGGGTTATTCACCGTGAGAGTTGAGCTGCTAGCATGATAATTGAGGTGTGGGCCTAAAATGATTAAAAATCCTAAATTTGTTTAATGTGTTTTAAATTTTTAATAATTTTATTTGTACTTTATTTTTTATAAAAAATATATCAAAATTTTTAAATTTTCATGATCTTTCAAATGACATCAATATTGTATATATAACGAAAAAATTGAAAATTATGAAGTTTCATCTGCTGAAGATTTGATTTTGAAAAGTCTGCTGGAGATTTTTATGTTCAACATTTTGGTTAAATTGAAGTGCTAAAATTAAGATTGTATGGTGAAAATACATGTTTACATCTTTCAGTTTTTTTTTAAAACAGATCTAAATTAACATGAATAAAATTACTCCAAATTTATTTATTTTGACATCAGAATGTTTTACTTTTAAAGTTATAATTATTCACAAAACATATATTTGGCAAAAAAATGACTCATAATTATAAAAGGAAGGATTTAATAAAAAAAACTTTGTTGGATGATAATATTTACGATGCTGGATTGCAGTAAAAACTGAATTGACGGAATGAATACATATAAACTAGTAGAATATTTGATTTATTGACAGAATTGGGTTGCGGTTAGCCTTAGAGTCGATATCAGATTTGGGATTCCGTGCTTGGAGTTCCTATAAAAAAGAGTATGCTTTTATTTAGATTTTATTATCTCCGTCCTACCAGTATTGTTACTTGAGCACAGATGTCCTACCAGGCTGATCTGTTCCGTTTGAGTCTAGTTTGATTTGATCTAGTCTGGTCTGGTCTGCTTTGGTCTGTGAAGGTTTGGTCTCCGTGTAATTTATAACTATGAAAGTCAAGTTTGGTAGGGTCTGACCTATTTAAGTCTGGTCTATTTAAGTTTCGTATGGTCTGGTTTGGTCTGGGACTGAAAACAGTACAAGTAAAAATATTCTAGGACCTAGGTGATGCAGTTATTAAACAAAAGTAATTTTATGTGATTAATATTAAATTTGCTTGGTAAAATAATAATGAAGTAAAAATGATTTTTGTCACATTTAATATAAGACCATCTTAACGGGCCTAAAAAAATACTCCGTAATAAACAATAGGGAGTACCGAGTATATGATTTGGGAGTTCAATTATACTCGTAGTAATTAGTGAGATCAGATAAATGTTTGAGTTCTTTATTTACAAAACAAATCCATGCAAGTTGTCGCGCGCGGCCAGACGGGCCAGTTGCGTACTCCGTAAAACTAGCAGTCGACCGGATCATGTGTTTGGATAATGGTAATATAGATACCATCCAAAAGGGAAAAGGGGCCTCTCTCCCCTTGTAAATTGCGCCTGCCCATGCCCATAGATTCATCAAACCCAAATGCGGATTTATGTTCTTTGCAACCATTGTTTCCCGCGCGCGTTTGTCTTTGTCCTCCCTAATCCCTATTTCACTATTTCCCATCCCCCAAAATAAAATATTTTAAAGAGAAAATTTTCAAAATCAAAGTAAACATATTCTCAAATTCTAAAATGAGATTGTTATATTGCTCTTCATCAAATAAAAGTAACTGAACATATATATTACAGGTTTGAAGTCATTATTGTCAAATAATTGTACTCTATAGTATTTAATGCTATTAATGTCAATATTTGTCCATCCTAACAGTAACGACTCCTATTTCGAGAAGAAACACATGATAATCTTATTTGGGAATTTCGAAAGCTGTTTAGTCCTAATTAGGACAATTTCCCTACAAACAACTCAAAGCCGATCTATTACCACAAACCAGAGTATTTAGTATTTACTAATTTACGTATTGGGTATTTGAAATTATCTTATGATGAATATTTTAAATAATAATATTATTTGATGAACTAATAGAGCACATTCATCTTTTCAACAATGATATTTTTTGGCAGTCACAATAAAATTAGCAAATGAATTCACAATCAAGAAGTACTCTATGAGTAAGTTCAATATATAAGTTATTGTTAAGAGGAATTCCCCAAATAGGACTAAATAAAACTTTAATTGCCAAAACTGACTATAACTATAAAATTCTGAAAATATGACTAGCTTTCTAATTCTACCATTGCTTTGTTTTAATATAATTCATATTTGATTAATGATTAAAACATAAAAGTAATAACATAAATTTATTTATAATAAAAATGTAAAAAACTAAAAAACAAGAAAATAAATATAAAATAAAATAAATTATAATTATAAAATTATTAAAATAAAAATTATAAAGTAAAAAACTTAAAAATTAAATAAGAAAATAAAAAATGTAAAAAATATATGTGGGCCTATGTTGCTGTCTCAACAACCTCCCAGCATCACCAGCTCAGACCACCAGAAAAATGCCAATATGTGTCAGAAATGTCATCTAGATGACAATTTTTGAGAAAATTTTGACATTTTCAAAGAGTCAAAGTGTCATCTTTATAGCATTTTCGAAGAAAAAATGACATTTTTCACCGACAGAGGTGGCATTGCTGGGAAATGGGTAAGACTTTGGGAATGGCCTCCATATTTTTTTTTATACTTGTTAATGTGTTTTTATCTATTTTGTATTTACTTTAAAAGTTTTTATTTTTTTTGAAATTTTATTGTTTAAAATTTTTCTTAACATATTTTAGAATACGAAGTATTTTTAAAAATATTTTAGAATTTTTAGTATTTTTACTATTTTTTATAAATTAATTTTTTTTATTACAAGTTAAAAATGATTATCTTATTAAGTTATGGTAAGGGTAGAATAGGAAGAAGATAGGGTATACTTTAATTCTATTTTAGAAAGATAACTAACATAATCTTATTTGTACATTTAATGACGGCCACATTTTTATATACATTGAGTAGTTTTTTAAATTTGTTTCGCAAATCAGGATCATTCCATGTAATCTCATTTGGGTTTGCTTTTAATATTTTTTTTTTTGAAGTGTGCATGAATTGAACATGTGCACCGCTGGACTATGTGGCTCATTGGTAACAAACCCTTCTTTACAAATATTTAACATATACAGACTTTAAGAAGTAAATATTTAAGTGTATGAGAGTACGACCGTAACTCGCGCATGTATAATCGTTCCTTTAAAATATATTAGAATTTCACCTGTTGCACGGAGTATAATTTCACCCGTTTGTTGTACGGAATGCTAACGCTCAAATATAACTTTTGGTAAATAACTTTTAAATTGGGCTCGGATCATTATAGTTACTTTTGATGAAGTTGAACTCAAATAGACTGACTTTTATACGAATGATTGCAATGCACATAGAGCTAAAGGCGTCACTTCATAAATATTCTATTTACCGAAAAATGTAGTTATTATGTTCCCTAAATGGAGAATCCTCACCCTTTGAATGTATATGATATCGAATGTGAAAATAAAATTGCATTCCATACTCTTCACATTGCCATAGTACTATTTGGAATAATAACGTTTGACAAACTTGTACATAGTTGGAACTTGGAACCATCACACTTGAAATCACTATATATAATCTCATCATCTCGTATCATCAACATCAAATATTCACTTCTCTAATTTTCTATCATTATACTCCCTCGATCCCACAAAATTGCATTGATTTGGTGCATATGTGAGAAAAATAATTTTAAACACATGTTTATTGTCTACAATGAACATATCTAAAATGAACAATTGGTGCATATCTTAATTTGGTTCATATCATTATATTGTCTAAAATGAAAATGATAAGAACAATTACATGCATGAGTACACGACTAAATAGGGAAATTTGCCAAAATTTCGTGGAACAGAGAGACGTATTCTATGTCCCTCTACACATCAAATATACCTTCCACCATATCTCCCTAAAATTAAACCAACAACCAAAACCTTTTTCATAAAATCCACGGCCACAACAAAACCTATTTTACCTGATCTTTTGAATTACAAACTTTTGTGCACGCTCAAATATGGTGTAATTTAAACTTCTAAAGCAAAAACAAAATATATAGCCCGTACTTTGTACTGCCATATAAACATTTCGTTGGTAGCTAGTACTATACAAAGTGGTTAACAATTACATTCTCCGTATAGTAGAACTAATAACATTCTAAAGTATATAATTCACATTTTGCATTAAATGTAATCTCGAAAAAGGGACGCTTGATAAGTTATTACTTTGTTCTAAGGGTCTGTTTTAGCAAGAAATTAACAATTTCTTCTAACAATCAAATAAAGAATCGGAATCGCACAAGAGATATATTTCAACAAATAATAATATAAATGGAAGAAAGATTTATATGAACTGTATAAATGACAAAGAAGAAGAAAGTTGAACAAGTTTAGTAGCAAGTGAATAGTCTCGTTAATGCTAATGACCCCCTTTTACAATGGCTAGACTTGTATTTAAATGAGCAATCCCATGCCTATCCATACACCAACTGCCCACCGAAATAGGTGGCCTCACATTTGAACGTGTCAAGTGCTTTCTTTTTCTCCAACCCTTATTCGTTCTTATCCCTTTAATAGCACTCGGTCCTCCATCCCTTTACTTTGCCGAGCTGGACTGCATCTGTTGCTGGACTCCGTCAGTGCTGCTTGGAAGGTGGGCCGCATGTCTTAATTTATTAGCCTGCTGTTGGGCCGTATCATTGGACGGAAATTCCCTGGCCCAACAATTGCCCCCAATTCGGAGGAACAGTTGACGCCGACCCAGATAACTTTTCCTTCGAATTAATACGTCTTGGGCTTCGTAAAGACTTCTACTTGTACACTCAACCGGTGCCATCATCACCTGCGATTCGAAATCTTCATCCCTGTCAAGAGTCACTCCATCTTCCTCGTTTCTTTCCGCTTCCATGGCTTCTCAAGTGTTCATTCCTCAACACATTTTTGAACCAAGAAGCGCCAAGCAAGCGAAACTTACCGAAGAACAAGTCGAACTCATCCAAACATCCACCGGCTTTCCTCCCAACGCCGTCATCCGCTTCCCCGCAGCGAACGAGCGCATGGACTGGTTTTGCCCTGGATGGGTCAATTTCATGTACTGTCCCTTCAAGATTGGGATGAAGTTCCCCTTTTCTCCCTTAACCCGGGGTTTCTTAGAGTTCGTCCACCTCTCGCCTTCTCAAATCATGCCACAGGTGTGGAGGATCTTACGCGCGCTGGAGGTCTTAAGTGAGAAGCATAGTATCCCCTTTGAGTTTGAAGATTTGGGTTTCACCTATGACCTTCGCACCTCTGGGCCCGACAAATTCACGTTGGGAATGAAAGATAAGAAACCGAGGCTTATTCACAAGGTTGACAAGGCGAACGACAGGGGTTGGATGCACTAGTACTTCTTTGTTCTTAGAGACTCGCTTGGCAATGAGGGGTCTTTCCTCGAAGATGACCTGCGAAAAGGTATGAACAAGAAACTCCTTGTTGTGGCCTTCCGTTGCCCTTAATTTCTGCTTATCTTTTATTATTATTATTATTATTATTATTATTATTATTATTATTATTATTATTATTATTATTATTATTATTATTATTATTATTATTATTATTATTATTATTATTATTATTATTATTATTATTATTATTATTATTATTATTATTATTATTATTATTATTATTATTATTATTATTATTATTATTATTATTATTATTACTATTTTTTTTTAAATATGTGCCCTGTAATTTGAAGTCATTTGTAATCCTTTGTGTTCCAGAAAAGAAAGCGATTTCTCTTCCCTCTAGGCCGAAATCAAAAGAAAGAACTGCACAAATCCAGGCTATCCCTGTGGAGGAGCGCTGGTTTGCCAATCTTGTTGCTGAGTCTCCAGGTACACTTACTCCTTCCAATTCCACTATGCCTATCGGGTTGAAGCGCTCTGCCCGTTTTATTTCATCAAAAAGTGGACTGATGCCAAGCCCCTCTGTAGTCTCTCTTGAGGAATCAGGACAAGATTCTGATGGCTCTAAAGATGTTGAAGAAGAGAATATAGATGCGTACATTCCCATGCAGGTTGTTTTTCCGGTGGGTGAAGGTTCTCAGACAGCTCCCAACAAATGTCCCCCTCCATCCATTGGTAAATATTGATACACCTTTTAACTAAAACTGCCCAAATGTAATGTGATTTCTTTTCTTGACCCCGTCTTATGGCTTTTGCTCTACTGCAGCGGCTGCGTCTTCTTCTAGCTCCCGTTTGGCTCCGTCTGCTCATGAATTGCTTGCCCTAGCCTCTAGGAAGAAAAGAGCATCTCCCAGATTGGCTTCCACTCCTCAGAAGCTTCCTAAGTTGGCTGCTGTTGTCGAAACAAAACCCAACATACCTCGCCCCCATGAGATCAAAACTACTCCGGCCTCTAAGCTGTTGGATGTAAAAATGTCACTTTCCCCTGACTTTTGTAGTCTACAAGACGTGACCCTGATGAGGGGAGAAATGCACAAGCCCATGCTTCCATCCTCTCCAGATGTTTTCAAGTGCCTGCCCCCAGCTGGATTATTGTCTGCGTCCTCGGCCTATGCTTTTCAGGTAAACATACTTTCGCTTAGTTCTTTCCTTGTAAGCAGCATCCTAATGTGATTGTATGATCTGTCAGGGTTTGCAAGCGAGTCTTGTTGCTGCAGAGAGAGTGGCTTCGCTGGAGAAAGCTCTCGACGAGTCTAAGCATAAGGAGTCAATTTCTCGCTCTCTACCGGAAGACAATGCAAAGCTAGCTCGGGATTTGCAAAAGGAAGTAACAGCTCAATCTGCACAAATTTCAAGGCTTGTTGACAGGGTTAAGGCGCTAGAAGCTCATGGGCGGAAAAAGAAGCAAGAAGTCATTGATGCAGCTTGTTATTACGTCTGGCAAACCCGGGGAGACCTAATGGCCTCCTTCCTCGCAGGTGAATCAGCCAACTGAAACGCTAAAGAAGACATTGCTACTTAGAAAAAGGTTCAGGAGGACATGGACCCCCCTGTTGCTGAGGATGGCTTTGATGTGGGTCACTCTGATGGTGAGGCTGACCCCAAACATTCTTAGACTGCTTAACCTTTTATGACAATTTGACAAACACTTTTTGGCTCTGTTCCTGGTATCCTGGTGGCTTATCTTGGACGGGAAGTACCTATGATGCTTTTGGCTTGCGCACTTGGTTCTTTATCCAAGGCTGATGGATTATATGGACTCCGACCCCCCGGTATGCCGACTACTAGGCCTGGACAGCGGCTCACACACGTTTAGTGGATATCATTAATATTATTGTACATTATTATTATTATTCAGATGTTCTAGATTAGATTTTTATACTATCAGTCCATTTATGTAACCGGGTCTGTCAGGCCCATATTAGAGGCCCAGACCCGGATTTTCCCTATATATACTCCTTATAGGAGGCTTGTAACTCATATAACCAATACTCATTCTATACACATTTCCTTCTTCTTCATCATTTCTTCTTCACTCTTGTTCAATTTCTCGTGTTTATACAATATGGGTATCAATTATCCATCATATGGTGCTCTAGTTGAGAGGTTGAACACAATCAAGTGAGAAAACCTCCCCAAAATACCAAAAATTCATTCCAATCACGTAAAAATCCATCCAAGAACAATCTGGGATTTCAAAAAAAATGGAACTCTCCAGATCTGGAGCAGTTCCGGTCAGATCGGAACTGACTGGTCAACGGAGCAGCAAGCGAGCAACAAGATCCGGCCCAGTCCGGCGCGCGGCGTGCCTCTCAAGTCGTTACTTCTTCCGTCATCGCCGCCGGCCGGGAGAAGGCAGCCGCTTCACCAGCTTCTGCCCTTCATTGACGGGTCAAAGAAAACCGGAACCCCGCCGGTTCGGGTTAGAGAACGGCGGAAGGCTGCTGGAAATCCTACCGGAAGGCTCAGGAAGTTGGCCTTCATGTTCTTGACCACCACTCCGGTGCCATTTGCGCCGCTGTGGGAGCTCTTCTTCCGTGACACACCGGCGGATCTGTACAACGTGCACGTCCACGTGGACCCGACGTACAACTACACCACGCCATTCACCGGCGTTTTCTCCGGCCAGGTCATCCGGTCCCCGAAGCCCACTCGCTGACACACGCCCAAGCTCGCTGCGGCGGTGCGTCGGCTTCTCGCGGAGGCGCTGGTCCATGACAAGTCGAACCACATGTTTGACCTCCTCTCGTCGCCTCTGTCCCGCTGCAGCTACCTTCCGTAAACGTACTTTTTGCTTTGGGGAGGGGTTGTTTCATCTGCCTCTTCAAAAGATGCTCTTTGTTTGGTTGAGAGCCAACCACATACGAAGGATCCAAATTAAATGAGAGTACAGATGAGTGGAGCACCTAGCATTATTTGGGAAGTCAACTGTTGCAAATTATTATGGGCCAGGCAGCACTAAATTACCACTAATATGGTGTCGGTTCACGAATGAAAATGGGCCTAAGGAATTCTGCTGGATGCTATTTATTCCAGTCAGCCCACAATTTCAGCCCACTTCAAAAAGATAAGTATCTTTAATTTTAATATTACTTAATTATATCTATTTTGATCTATATTTTTGTCAGTTAAATGTCACACTATCACGCACTTATGATCAAATGCCCAGTAGAGTGTGGATTGAGACCCATCACTAGGATTTAAAGCCCTGACTCCTCAGGCACAAAGCCCTGTCTCCTCAGGCACAAAGCCCCGACCAAGTCGGGCATGAAGACAAAACCCCGACCAAGTCGGGTACGAAGACCGGTCTTAGTCATTCCTCGAGTGGCGACCGTTGCTTACGAATGGCTCACACATCCATTCTACTAAGTATTTTATCATTACATTAACAATTCACATCTCCACTTGTTTCAAGTGACGAACTCCCGATCGGGAACATAAATCCCAAGAATTTTTTTTATATGTATGATAAATGTGTAGGTACGAAGATAACTTTACTCATTTTCACCTCGTCTCCACTCGCCTCAAAGAGTGGGGACTGGGGGACTGAGGGGTCAGAGTTTCATGCAAGAGCAGGAACGAGAGCTGAGTCAGTTGACGAGGCACCTCCCCATAAATGGACAAGGGTGGTGGTCCCCCGGCCGAAGAGGAAGAGCGTTGCAGATACAGTTTGGACTACTCCCTTTCGCCTCGAGTACTCTCGACTCAGGGAGTGGGGGACTCCTGATGGATTATATGGACTCCGACCCCCCCGGTATGCCGACTACTAGGCCTGGACAGCGGCCCACACACGTTTAGCGGATATCATTAATATTATTGTACATTATTATTATTATTATTCAGATGTTCTAGATTAGATTTTTATACTATCAGTCCATTTATGTAACCGGGTCTGTCAGGCCCATATTAGAGGCCCATACCCGGATTTTCCCTATATATACTCCTTATAGGAGGCTTGTAACTCATATAACCAATACTCATTCTATACACATTTCCTTCTTCTTCATCATTTCTTCTTCACTCTTGTTCAATTTCTCGTGTTTATACAATATGGGTATCAATTATCCATCAAAGGCCTTGCTTTTGTTTTGTTACGTGCGATGTGAAAACTTTGATATGTCTGCTTTCGTTATCTTGTGTGTGCGCACTAGTGCTATCATATATGTATAGATATATGAGTTGTCATGTATGTGTGTTGATTTTGGCCAAAAGCATATGTGATGTAAGGGCCGATTGGGTCTGTGATCCATGATACTCTCATGGGCAGCCCAACCCTTTCCCTTTTTTACGTTTGTGTACAATACCCAATTGGTAAGAGTATGAATGACGCTTTCCATCCTTTGTGAATTGATCCTCCGCTGCTTGTCTTAAGTTAATCCTGCACTTACTACAAACCGTCAAAGCTGGCCGTTGGCTTTGAGCCAATGGCCCTCCGATGGTTAAGTCAGTAAAAGCTATGAATTTTAAAGACGAAACATATACTTTACACTTAACATGTCATAGCCTTCTCAATACACAAGATAATTGTAGAGTGCCTTTTTAATGAATCAATATTTTATTAAATTCAAACCGATCGTTATTGTCAGATCTCACCATGACACTTCGACCGATTCATAGCACTTGATACGTCTTTGGTTCCTAAATATATTCGCACGAAAACGTGGAATGTTTAAAGTAACTTACTCGCGGTAATTTGTTTAACCTGACCTCTCGTCTTGTTTTCTGCATCCAAAACTTTGTTAGGTTTGGCCGTTGGCTTTAACCCAACGACCCTCCGATGCTTAAGTTAGTAGACCGTCCAAATGAATACATAAGTAAGACATAATGAAGCTTAAAAATGAAAAAGTTTTAGGTGTACCGCGTTCCAGCTCCTAGGAACCTGTTTTCCATCGGCTGATTTCAAGCGATATGCCCCCTGCCCGATAATGTCAATGATCTTGTATGGGCCTTCCCAATCGGGGCTGAACTTCCCGCTTGCTTCATTTCCAAATGCCCTTCTCAAAACCCGGTCTCCTTTCTTAAAGATCTTTGCCCATATATTTTTGTTAAAGCTCTTGGACACTATTTGCTGATAGGATTGTAGACGGATCTTGGCCCTTTCTCTAATTTCGTCAATGGTATCTAGATCATGTATCAAGTCCACATTGTTCCGATCTTTGGTCATAAGCCCATACCTTGAGGATGGTACGTCAACCTCTGCTGGTATGACCGCCTCACAGACATACACCAAGGAGAAAGTAGTTTGTCCGGTTGCGTTCTTTGGAGTCGTTCTGTCAGCCCATAATATCAGGGGAACCTCGTCAGCCCATCTGCCTTGCGCTTTCTCAAGTCTTTTCTTCAAATTGGACACAATGATTTTATTGCTGGACTCGGCTTGTCCATTGGATTGCGAGTACCTAGGAGTTGACATTTCCAACCTGATGTTGTACCTTTCGCATAATCGTCGGGTTTTTGCACTTATGAACTGGGACCCGTTGTCACATACAATCTCTGACGGGATGCCAAACCTGCAAAGTATATTTCGTTTGATAAAAGAGATTACCTGGACGTCGCGTACCTGACCGAATGGTTCGGCCTCCACCCATTTTGAAAAGTAGTCCGTCATTGCAAACATGTAAACCTTCTGTCCTGGAGCTTCGGGCAGCTTTCCCACGATGTCCATTCCCCACTTCATAAAGGGCCAAGGTGACAAGACTGGATGAAGCGATTCAGAGGGCTGATGACGGATTGCTCCGTGCTTCTGACAAGCCTGACAACTTTGGGTGAAAGTGATTGTGTCATGCCGCATGGTTGGCCAATAGTATCCAAATCGGAGAGCCTTGTTAGACAGACTTCTTCCTGCAGCATGGTTTCCACACCCCTTCGTGGAGGTCTCTTAGCACTTTTATGGCTTCTTGAGGTGCTAAACATCTTTGGTACGGACCTGCTTTAAATCTTTTAAACAAAACGTCATCAATAACGAGAAACTTAGTTACCTTGGAAAGGAGTGCCCTTGCTTCCTTTCTTTCCGCCGGTAGGATGTTGTGTTTCAAGTATGTTACATATGGCTGCATCCAGTCATCTTGTGCGGACAGATTGATAGCACTGACGGACTCTGATCTGTCAATTGCTGGACACGTCAAATGGATGAAAGGGATGTTGTTTATTTCTTCCCCCAGACAAGATCCAATTGCTGCCAGGGAGTCTGCTTGAGTGTTTTCCTCCCTTGGCACTTGCTCAAAGGTGATCTCGTCGAACCACGCTGTCAAATTCGTGACGATTTGTAGATAGGATGTCATCTTGGGATCTTTCGCTGCATAAACACCGTTAGATTGATTAACTATTAATAACAAATCACACTTTACCTGCAACAGCTTGACGCCTAAATCCTTTGCCAATGTTAAGCCCACGATCAATGCTTCATACTCCATCTCGTTGTTTGAGGCGTTGAAATCACAGTGGACTGCTTGAAGCATGGTGTCCCCCTGTGGCGACTTTAGTACTATGCCCAAACCTGCTCCATTTAGATTTGACACCTTATCAGTGTGCAAGGTCCACTTCTGTTGGGGCAAACTGTTTGTGATGAGGCACGCCTCCATTTTTGCTTCGGTTTGGAGCTTTGGACTAAAGTCTGCCACAAAATCAGCAAGCGTCTGAGATTTCAAAGCAGTCCTTGGCTCGTATCTGATGTCGTAAGCTCCTAACTGAATTGACCATTTGGCCATCCGACTTGACAACTTTGGTTTCCTCATGATTGATTTCATGGGATAGTTAGTCCGCACACAAATAGTACGTACGTGATTCAAAGTATGGACGCAATTTAATTGATGCAGTAATCAAAGCTAAAACCAATTTTTCAAGTAAGGCGTACCTGGTTTCAGGACCATTCAGCGACTTACTTACATAATATACCGGTGTTTGCATTCCGTCATCTTCTTTGGTCAACACTGCGCTGACAACATGCTCCGAGATGGCTAGGTATAGTTGGAGTTCATCACCCTCTTCTGGTTTCGTCAACAACGGTGGGGTCATCATATATTCTTTCAATTGTTGGAGTGCCTGTTCGTGTTGATCCGTCCACTCAAATTTCTTGTTCTTGCGAAGTACGTCATAGAAAAGGCAACATCTGTCAGATGACTTAGAAATGAAGCGGTTCAGAGCAGCAACTCGACCTGTCAGCCTCTGCACGTCCTTGACTGGTTTCGGTGATTCTATGTCTAGAATAGCTCGGACTTGCTCCGGACTTGCTTCCATTCCACGTTCACTGACTATATAGCCCTAGAATTCCCCTGATGACACACCAAATGCGCATTTCGACGGATTGAGCAAAGGTTGTATTCTCTCAATCTCTTGAATGATTCCGTCAGGTTATCAATATGGTCCTCAGCCTTCCTTGTTTTAACGATCATATCGTCTATGTATACCTCTATGGTTTTTCCGATTTGATCTTTAAACATCATGGTGACGAGCCTTTGAAACGTCGCACCTGCATTTTTAAGACCAAATGGCATAACAACATAGCAATATGTACTTGTTTTAGTAATGAAGGCCGTCTTTTCTTGATCATCGGAATGCAACTGAATCTGGTGGTATCCGCTAAAGGCGTCCATAAACGAGAGCATCTCATGTCCGGCAGTCGCATCGGCCAATACGTCAATGTGTGGCATCAGGAATGAATCCTTTGGACATGCTTTGTTTAAATCGGTGAAGTCCACGCACACTCGCTATTTTGCCTTTTTGCCTTTTGCTGCTTTCTTCTTGACGACAACGACGTTGGCCAACCAATCCGGATATCTGACTTCTCTAGATTTCTTGGTTTGGAGAAGTGCTTCGACTTCCTTGTTTATGATGTCATTCCGCTCCCTTGCAAAACGTCTTCTTCGTTGTCTGACGGGTTTACATGACGGGTTGATGTTTAATCTGTGAGTGATGATTTTCGGGTCAATCCCCGTCATGTCTTTATGACTCCAAGAGAATACATCTTTATGCCCCTTAAGAAACTGAACCAGCTCATCTCTGAGGCTTGTTAGTAAGTTTGTCCCGATGTGGATGACCCGTTCTGGATGCTCGTCATCGATGACTACTTCTTCCGTTTTTTCGTCATCTTCCTCCAAAGCTGGGTCACCCTTTAGTTGCTATGCTGAAGTTGGTGGATTTGTTGTAGACTTCATGGCCGTCTGATAGCATGACTTGGCTACCACCTAGTCTCCTCGAATGGACTCTATCCCCCAAGGCGTTGGAAATTTGACGACCTGGTGATATGTCGACAAAATAGCTCCCATTTGATGTAACCATGGCGTCCCCAAAATCATGTTATAAGCTGGGAGGTCTTGGACTACATCGAACCTGACCTGCACATTAACACCGTTAGCGTAAACAGGAATAGAGATATTACCTATGGTTCGGCTTGGTTCTCCATTGAAACCGACGAGGGTGGATCCTGATTTTGCTATGTCATCTTCCTTGATTCCCATTTGCTCTAGCATCCGCATGGTAGTTATGTTGGCCATGCTTCCGTTGTCAACAAGGACCCGCTTCACTTCAAAGTTTGCCACTCTAAGGGATATGACCAGAGTGTCATGATGGGGTTGCATAGGATCTGGCATATCTGACTCGTCAAAAGCAATGGCAGTGTTTCTCCAGTCGTCATGTCGTCTTTCAACTTGGCATACCTGCATTGACTTGTCTCGGGAATACTCCCGAGCGTGTGTCTTGGCAGCAGAATACGTTAGGCCACATAAATCTGACCCGCCATTAATAAAATTAATTACCTGACAGGGAGCCGAAGGCGACGGAGGTCGGGTTGCTTTGGCAAATGACCGTCGAGTATGGCTCTCCAGTCGGCTTCGGTGACAGTCCCAGCGTAAGGGAAACTGGATCCGTCGATGCTGAGTGTGGATCCGTCGCTGACAAGGAAAAACCGAGATCTAACCTTGTTGCTGCATTCGTATAATCATTCCTCCGGTTGAGCCTTGAATTCGAGGCTATTGACAATGCAGATTGTACCTGGGACCGAAGTACATCGTTCTCTC